ACACTTTCAAATAGACAGGTAGACAGAATATGGGTACCATACCTTTAAATTCATTTTCTTTGGGTTCCATTTTTTCCGCTGGTTTTAGTGCCCTCTCTCAGTCTCCACCGGACTGGTAATGCCGGCGACGCGGTTGAGAGAGAAGCGCTGGGATCTCTTAGAGTCTCGCTTTGTCCTTCACACTTGGGGGAAAGGGCTGGATTCGGAAATCTCTTGTCTGATTGTAAATATTGTAATTAAGTATGAATGTTTTTCTATTTATTTCTTTTACTTATAATTTATTTAATTTTGCTACGAATTTCTATATGTTAATTAATTTTAACTCTAAGTTACATTTCCTTGGTTTATTATATTTTTTGCCTTTGTTATACAGATGTATATTTTTTTTTATTATTTATTTTTTTTAGTTGTTTTTTTTTATTGTATTGTATATATGGTATGAATGTGCCTCACTCAGTCTTAGTGCTCAATGCCCTTAAGTGAGGCAAAATGTATTATTTCTCAATAAACAGGTAAAAAAAATATTTTTTCCGCATATACATTTTGTAATAGACCTTGAAATATGTTAATTAGACTTTGTCCTCAATGTTCTATAGATCTAGCTGCAATGAATTAAAGGTATGTAAGGAGAAATTGCAATAAATCGATTAATAGTTTCAGATTTCGAACTATTTAAAATCGATTGTAGCAGGTATTGATAACGTAATTAATTTCATTACTCATAAGCAAGGCAATTAATTTCAGTGCTAGATCTGAATCTACAACGATCTATTTTTCAGAGACTGAGTTAAATTGTTAAACGAGTGAGACATTGGGGCACATAAGTGCAGAATTTGGTGGAAGGGATAGAGGAGGATATCCAATATAAATAGAGAGAGGGCGAGAATAACGTTTTTTATTCCCCTCCCTTCCACAATATTTCGAAGAAAAATATTATATCAAAATCTATAACAATCAATCTAAATTAATGAATAAAATATCTAAACAAAAAACAATTAAGAAAAATGGAAAAGTCTACTAGATCGCTGAGTTACGGTCTAGAATTAGTTAAGGGACCATTTTAAGACGCCCTATGTTTTTCTAGTCCGTTATCCAGAGCTTTTTAAATAGCTTCATCTCATTGAAACATATTATCATTGAAATATTTAATTTACGAAAATTCTCGAAATTTGGGAGATTATCAATCTGGAGATCGTTAAACTTTGTTTATTTAATTAAATACTAAAAACACGTAAACAGACATTTGCTTTCCACTTGAATTGTAAGATAATTTAAGCAAAACAACGGCGGCCTTCATAAATATTGAGCCGTTTGGCGGTACCTAACCCCTCCCCCCAAAATGTCAAAATAATAAGGTTATATAGGCCAACATTTTCCTAGATTTGACGATCAAATTATTTTATGATCCAATCATTTTATGATGCATGCATAATTATTGATAAGTACATAAATATTGAAAAGGTAGCGTGAATAATTAGTGATTAAAAATTGCTAAAAAAGCCTGCGAGAGCTGGGATATCTAAAGCACAGTTAAATAAGTTTTACAAGATTGACAACACTGAAAACTATGAAGGAAAATTTGGATATGGTACCAAATCTAAGGAAAAATTTAAAAGCCAACGAAAAAAAAACATTTGCATTGTTAAAAGCTGTGAAAATCTACAACAGAATTTAAATTGGAAGTGTTACCACTGACTTGAGGGACAGGGAACAAAACAAATGAATTTCTATTAAATCGATCGATCGTTTAGTACCATAAAATTTATAATTCGATCATAAAAATATTATTTTTCACTCAATCAAAATATCGGTTTGTTAAGCTCCCCCATTGTTAAAATTTAACTTTGAATGAACCTTAACGAGGATTTAATTAAACAAATTGTAATAAAAAGTGAACTGTAACGATTAAATATTAATACATAATAATAAAGAAAGAAAAAAACATGACATCAATTTTACAATTATAATGAAATAAAATAATAACTTCTATAAATGAAAATAATAATATGTTTAAAATAATAATAATAAAAGCAATTAAGAAATATTAAACAAAATAAAATGATGTTTGCTTATGAAAACTAAATAGAGAAATGATATGTGACTGGTCCAATATTAAATTCAATTATGGAGACTAATAAACAAATTTATTTTTATTACTTTTTTTTTTAAGAAAATTTTAATTCGATTTTATTCATTTATTTTTATTCTATTATTTATATTTTCTTCCTTCAATATGATATTTAATTGTGTTCTTATTTTGCTTTATATTATTTTGAAATTATCTCATTTATTTTTTGATTTTGTAAATATGTGTGAATGTGCTCTCTGAACTCTATTATAAATGTCACTTTTTGAGACAGATTGTAATATTTATCAATAAGCAAATAATCCAATTCTAAAAAAAATAAATAAAATAAACAAATATTAATATCCCAAAAAATAAAATTTGTACAAAACAAAAATTAATAAACAAAAATGTATAACGTTATGTGGATGGAAGCAGACGATGGTCGTAAAAGTGGACGAATCGGTGCACAATGGAACGAGTAAGGAAAACTCGCGACATCGGGTGAATCTCATTTTTTTTATATAACTCCACAAACTAGATAAACTGTTTTATTAATACCATGTGCAGTTCGTGTAGTTAACGAGAATATTTTCAGTTGGAAGAAAATATATCTTTCACTGTTATTACTGAATAATTCAATTGAAAAGAAATAGATGCATAAGGGCTACAATCCATAACAACATATATAAACCACGAACCAGTCTATATCGAAAATAAACAATATAAGCTATGGGCCTATGAATATATACCTAGTTCTGCGATAAATACTGTTACAAAATTTGAACTTTGTTTACATCCTTGAGTATTAGTTAGATAATCCTTACCTCTATCCAGGTTATTTTCTTTACATGTCAAGATAATAATCTCAATTAGTTTATATTTTTCTTTCGCTCAGTTAACATGGAGTGGGGTGATAAAGAAAACCGAATAGCTGTGATAACCTAACACAAAGTTGGAAAACCTTTGGGTATCAGCCGTATGTTCGTGTCCCGCACTGTAATTATAAAAAATGAGACCCTATCTGTATGTAACAGACCTCGACCGGACCGTCCCCGCACTGTGAGAACGGCAAATGCAGTGAGAGCAGTGGCTGCTCGTATCAGAAAAAAATCATTCGAAAACAACAAGTCGTGTCTAAGGTAATGGGAATCTCTCTCAGACCAATGTATCGCATAATAAAAATAGTAAATAAATAAAAATAAAAAAGTGACCTTAGGATGGATGCATTTAGAATAATGACAAGACAAAGGCTTACCACTACCCTAAAAAAAAAAAAAATTAAAGTTGATAGATGCAAAGTGCTCTTGGCCGTTACACCAGTGGTTTTCATCGAAAGATTTTTTTTAACGATGAGAAAATTTTTACAATTGAAGAAGAATTTAAAGGCCAAAATGATCATGGCATGTCACGCGGACACCACTGTGCTCGCGAGCTTTAGCTTCAGAACCCCTGCCATATAAGTTTACATATTCAAAAATAAGATAACCTCGTATTACTTTTTCAGTATCTTCAGAAGATAGGTAGACTATTTTTATTTATGAAATGAAATGACAAAAATAATTTTATTCTGGGACTAAAGCACGTTAAGAATAATAATAAAAATCTGGTAAAAATCATTGGTCCATTAGACTGGTTTGACAAAATACAAAGAGGTCGTTTGAATGCTATTTATATGTATTTAAAAAAAAAAAAAAGGAGATTTTCGATTAAAGTTTATTGTATATTTTTTTCTTTAAATCTGTTTGATTTAAAAGAGGGTTAGGAACGTATTAAAAAGAAACACTTAGGTGTGCGCTTTAGACCACACAATAGATGTGAAAACATCAAGAAGGCGAAATTAATAATATGCAATAGAAAAGGGCGGGGTGGCCGAATGGGCTAAAGCGTGTGCACTGCACCGCCGTTGCCTGGCAACCTGACATATGAATCAAAGATATAAAAATAGTCACGAGTTCGCGTCCCGGTGCCGGGGGAGTATTTTAAATCCCCGCCAACACTCCCTGCCCGGGAATATGCCGTATAGCCTTAACGGCGAGAAAGGGAAGGAACAAAAAAATAAAATAAAATAAAAAAATAAATAAAAATAAAAAAATAAAAATGCAATAGAAATTATTAAAAATAGCTCGTTCTAAAGAGATGAAAATGCTGAATTTCCATTGCTTTCAGTATGCAGGTCCGATTTTTTAGTTTCTGGGATATTTTAATTCATATCTTCAATTAATTCTTTTGGTTTTCGACACTATTTTTTTTCTTTACGCCTCTCTAACAAGGCGTCGCTTTAAATAATAGCTCATTACAAAGATGATGGAATGATAAACCTATCTCTCGCGAACAATACATAGGTGGGATTTTTAGTTTTAGGGATATCTTAATCCATATGCAAAAACACTTCAATGAGTCTATTCCAGCCGACTTTACCCAAGTGTTACAAGCCGGAGATATGAGGACTCAATCTAATTCGCTCTCAACAAAAAAAGTGCAAAACGCGCCTAAAGAAGTTTTCATTTTAAAAGAAAATATATTTTGTTAATCTTACTACCAAACGTAGCTATTCGAACCACATGGTATTTGGGTGTCATTAAAATTATTACAAGAATATATCTCGTTAAAAAAGAACATAGAAAGAGAATTGAGTGATTCGTCTTACTGAACGTAGTTTTGAGAATTCTGAGCAGTTATTTTCGCAAGCAATTTTATGGGACTTGGTTATTTCGACAGAGAGATAGTTAAAAATATATTTCCTGAGATTCGAATTTTTTTACGCTCGCAATACTTTATATATATATATATTTATTATTAATAAAGTGATTCATTATAAATTGCTGGAAGAGGAGGAGCGATGGACAGGTAACCTTGAAGCACCCCACCGGGCTCCTTATAAAGCCGAACCTCCCCAGCCCTCAGGAGTTCTGCAGCATCCTCTGGAACAGACATGTCTTCCCTCACGGTCTTCTTGGTATTCTCCTTCGCCGCAGGATCCTGGGCGGCCATGCGTAAGTCTTTTGCAGTACAGTTTGCAAGTAATAACATTATGAACAGTGGCTCACAGTGAAATTGAATCAACCCGTAGAAAAATAGAAAAAAATACTAAAACGGTTATAGTATACAAATAAAATAAATAAAACCAGAAACCCGTCAACTTTAAATAAAATTAAAATTTTCAAATTATTCAAGTGAATATTTAAAAAAAAATAACAAAAAAAATTCGATAATTTTATCTCACAGTAAAAATGGTACACCTCACTTTTAAATACAATTAATTTATTTAAATTATTTGTAGGCAATCCATTATTTTCCACTATCTCTTTCAGTCTGTTTATGATGGAGTAAACAATTTATTTGTTGAATTCCGGGCTTAGTTTGTTCCCCTAATAGAAGAGATATTTTTTTGAATACTTAATAGTTGACCGTTGTATTATTAAGAAAGGAAATGGTCCGGTGTGACGGTCATAAATAGGCTAAGTGGCAAGACTATTTTATTGAAAGCCAACGTTTCGACCCGACTTTGCAGTTCTTCTTCTGGGCTAGAACGGACAAGATACAAAAAGATATAGAGAATTGTGGAAGTTAAATAATATATAATAGTATAACATATATAGTCTTCTATGCTAAAAAATTTGTGTTTTCTAATTTTTATCTCCAATTTCGCCTACACGTGTTCTATCACAATAAGAATTAGTGAGTGTGGTGTTTTTTTTTTTTTTTATAATTTTCGAGGATCTATCAAGAAGCCATTTCATAATTAACCTGGCAGAGTGTTTGGGGTCAATATCCTGATAAAAACTAAATTTGTTTTTTAGCCACAAATTTTCCCCAAGTTTATTCTCAAAATTTCTATGTAAACATGATTATTCACTAAATCATGTGAATATTTACACTTTAAAGTGAAGATTTCCTACACCAGAAACTGCCACGCCCACATCAAAGAACAGAACATAAAACATAACAAAAAAAGAATATGTTTTCAATGTGATGTAAATTGAACTATTTATTTCTTCAATAATTTTTATCAATATCCAAATGTGTCATTTTGTCTGTGAGCCACTTTATATAAAGGGTATCCCGTAGTTAGAGAGAAATATTTATAGAAGTGATAACATCTCAGCTACAGTGTGATAACTATGGTGATAACACTACAGTATGGTAACTATGGTGATAACACTACAATATGATAACTATAGTGATATCACTACAGTGTGATAACTATGGTGATAACACTACAGTATGGTAACTATGGTGATAACACTACAGAGTGATAACCTCAAAAACAACAAAAAAGTTTATATTAAAAATACCGCGATTTCATGCAGGAAAGTAGGAAATCCAAATTTTGTAGTATTTTAAGCAAGTCATGTTTTTTGTTGAATAGGAAGCGATAACTAAAGAAATATTTCTTTTACTTGTAGTACACTACTAATATTTTATTTACTTGCTAATATTTTTAATCGTTAAGTTTAAATTTAAAATAAAGAAACCTGCTCATGCTTTAATTAATTTCACGAACTGAGACGTTTTTATTGAATAGGAAACTATTTAATTAAATTAATTAAAAATTATTTCACTATAAGCTATAGAAAATTTACTGTAAAAGAGAATAGAATTGGTCATTGTCAGAACGATTGAAAGAGCACTTTTGAGGGCTAAACTAAGTTCTGTTTTTTTTTTAAATTATAATTTATTTGCTACTTATTTTTGTCATCCTCCAACTGCACTACAGATACCTCATTTTTGGAAAACCTTTCTAGTTTAATAAGCAACTACTTAAGTCCATATTAATTAAGTTGGGGATTATAATGGAAAAAAACTAAGTCACTAAAACTGATAAATCTGATGTGTCATACTACTTTCCTACCTATTTCAAAAAAGTTTTTATACTTTGTATAGATACGGATGGATCCACCCGATATGCCGACATTGTAGCATTCCCTAAGACGGTAAATTCGGCGATGATTTTGGATCCTATCGTGAGGTATGAGACCAATGACCTCGCTCAGGCAGGCAAAGTGGAAAGGGAGAAAAAAAAGACATATGAGAAATGCATTCCTTTCCTTAGTGAAAAGTTCCTCGAGAGTTTCGGGCCGAGAGAGTTCCACGTGAGAGGCCTTTGGTTCGGTGCTCGCGGAACGATAGCAGACTCAACAAGGAGCTTCATGGAGGGCCTCGGTGTCGACATAAGAACGTGGCAAGGTTGGCGGAGAATATAATCCTCGACTCCCTTGAATTATCCATCACCATGTGCATGGATAGAGAGAGAGTTTGTTCATGGGGGGCATGCGTGTTTTACAGCATTTTTACATTATTTATTGACCACGACCACTGCACTTTATGTATTTGTATGCATTTTATGAATTAGGTTAGGAAAAGAGAGGAGAAAATCCAGGGAATGAGAAAAATGTATAAGGGAGAGAAGGGAGAGACAAGGATATATAATGCTAAGAAATGAATGAAAGAAATAGTAAAAAAAAAAAAGATATACAAAAAATATATATATAGAAAAAATATATATATATATAAAAAAATTATTGTATACTATGCTCATACATATTGTTTATGCTATATAATTGTATATTAGTTTTGGAAAATTGTCTGTAGCGATTAATAAGTATGCTATGTCTAAAGCAACCCAATGTAATTGGGCAGCACCCTTTTATGATAATAAAGTGATTCTCTCTACATATGTCCATCAAGAAACAAAAAAAAAAAATATTTTCTGAAAATTTATCAAAGAAAAGATTTGAGTAAGATTTACTTGATAAACTAAAGCAATGTAAATCGGCTTAAGGTACACCAGTGCAAAAATTTCAATATTCTCTAATATTGCTTTCAAACACTTTTTGTAGTATCCTAATTTTGACAAATAATAATTTCTGTCCAAAGTAGAGGAAATAGTGAAGTTTGTGTGATGCGGGCAACAGATTTTCTTACATTCACTTAGTTATCTCTTTTCTTTCATTCACTCCGTTCTGACACCAAGATATGAACCAGTAATCTTACATTGGAAATTGAATAGCTGTAACTTCGTTAATAGTTGTCCGAAATGAACGATTTTTATAAAGTTTTGTAGGGAATTTGATTACCTTTAGAAAGTGTTCTTATAAATTTTACCATAGAATATATACCGACCGAACTAGGCCCCTAACCATTTTTTTCCTTATAACTTTTTTTCCTGAATTTTCTCGGGAGCTTAGTCCATATACGAAAATTGAAAGGACAATTATTAGAACATGATAGGAAAGTTTCTTCAAAATCGTCAGAGCCGTTTTTGCGCTACAGTCTATTGAAAAACATGTTTTTAATTTATCGTGCTGCAGTTATTGCGCATGGAGTATCCACTTTGTGTCACAGGTAACAGAAGTCAAAACTCCACAAAATAAAAAAAATAAGCAACAAAATATGTTCACTAGTTCCCGAGCAAATCTTGGCACAGACAGACTAATGGCTAAAAATGTGTTTTTCGAACTCAAAGGGCTCTGAAACGTATAGATCCGTCAAAAACCGAATAAAAACTGCAGTTTCGAAAATTTATCCTTGGGAACTCCCCACTCCAAAAATTCTTCTTTCTCTCACCTAATTTATTAAAGACAACACAATGCGTGATATATATAAACAGGAATTTCTCAAATTTTAAGAGAGACTAGGTGAATCTGACTTTATCTACACTGACGGCTTGAAGAGCTCCGCAGGCGTGGGAGCATCAATTATATGTAACGAACGACAAAATAATTTTTCTCTTTCACCACTATGTAATAATTATACTGCTGAATGGGTTGCAATACATAAAGGTATAAATGTTATACAGCCCACTAAACAAAAAATGGTCATATGCACAGATCCTCTATTCGTCTTAATTAGTCTGGAAAATGTTTTCTCATCAAATATCATAATACAAAACATTCTGTACTCAATAAAGTCCGCAAATAGAAAAAATATATCAGTATTTTTTGTCTGGGTCCCTGGGCATTGCGGAATAGCCGTTAATGAACTGGCTGATCGAGCTGCCGAAAAAACCTGATGGAATACATTATCGGGGAGTACCTGTAGCGGATTTTATAAACGTCATCAGAAAATGAAGACAAAATGGGAACAGATATGGTCGAATGTAAACGAAAATAAATTGAGGGAGGTTAAGGGTGACGTTTCCTCTTGGGCATCGTCAAATAGGAATAATTGCAGAGAGGAGTTTATTCTTACGCGCCTGCGTATAGGTCATATGGATACCTTGTCCATGGATACCTGTTGGCCCGTGATTCTTCGCCAACATGCCAAACCTGTGGGACTCCTCTGACAGTGAAACACATCTTAACAGAATGCGAAGCTTACGAAACATTGAGACTCTCTTGTGACTTGACAAACGATCTACACTTCATTCTACAGGACAATACTAATGAGATTGATAAATTATTTTCTTTTCTGAAATGTTCTAAACTTGAAAATACAATCTAATTCTCGATGAAAATAAGGCGATAATGGCCCTAGTAGTGGCTTAAGCATTAAAATAAAAAATAAATAAATTAAAAAAAAAACGCATATAGGAAAAAACGACCCAATTGCAATACTTCCCTTACCTAGTATAGGTAGGAAAGTAAAAATTTGTAATTTAACCTAAAATCATCCACGTTTTCATTAAAATGAATAATATAAATTGTTACAAAAGCTTATATTCATGTTCATCCATGACCTGAGATGTATTATGATAAACATAATTACCTAAATACATTTTGTATTTATAAAAAAAAAGTTTAAAATTTTGATTTTTCAAATGTTATTCGTGTGAAGATCGGGGTTAGACTATCTTTCGCATCTTTAATTAATTATTTATATTTCAAGCTTATTATTTAACCGTTTAAGAATAAAATCTACAATCCCACTTGTTTTTATAAACAATAATATAAATGTCATAAGGAAAATACGTTTTCGCAGTCGTAACCAAAATTAGTAGTTGGAATTTGATAAAATCTATTCGGAACCATCTGGGTATCAATCCGGGAAATCT